GGATAAAATAATGAATGAGTTGATACCTGAAGGGGGTTTGGAACAGTTGCTGGCTCAATAGTATGTACTCAGTAAGTCTTAGCTAGTAGGAGGAGGAATAGGATGTTCAGTAAGTGTATAAAAAGCACACCACTGAGGTTTGCCACCAAGAGGGCTGTTAGTGAAGCCTCTACCATGTCTAAAACACTATGAGATGTGAATTTCCCTTGGCTTCAGGTCACAACCATGTCACTCTTGGCAATTATACTATAAAAAAGACTATGATACCAAACTGATCCTGGCTAGAACTCTGACGATACCCCAAGTATTATCATCATGTTACTAGTGTATAAACATGTTATTTAGCACCACAAATTCTTTTATTGATCATAACAGCATGACACCATAGAGAAGTTCAACTAAGATGCACTTCTGAAAATCCTTATGTTTTCAAACACATCACTGTCTTTCAAATCCAAAACACATGAAGCATTAGTGAGTCACAGCTTCCATGTACAGTTAGGCAGGTTGGATACTGAACAGCAGTGAGGATTTCTACTCACAGAAGCTGCAGATGCATTGATGTTTGCAGAAATAAGAGAAACCAGCCAGCAAGGAAACAGCAGGGGAGGGTGAACAAGGCTAAAAGGGAAGTACACATATTGCTGAAAGATGGTGTCCTCAACTCAACTCCAGCTGATGGCTTTTAGGCAAGATGAGGCACCCAGAATTACCCAATCTTCCAACACTTCAACGATAACTAGAAATTCATATTTTAAAATGAAAACTCCTCTTTTTTGATGTTTCTATGTCATATTCATGCTTTTTTCTTTCTGCTTTGTTTTTTTCTGCATGGATCATTATATCATCTACAAATAAGCAGAGTTTTATCTCTTTCCTTCAGATTGTTTCACTCCATTTTTCTTAAAGCATTACAGCACTCCTTGATAAACAGTAGCAAAGGCAGTAGACATCCACCTTTTGTTGTCAGTGATAAAGAAAATACATCTAAAATTTCTCAATTATACATAATGTTTACTTTGAGGTTTGGTGTAGAAATCCTTTTGATAATAAGGAATTGCATCATCATTTCTAGTAAGAGAATTAACAAAAGTTGCCAGATAATGTATGAGCCATTCACATTTTTATATAATAGCAATAACTATAAGATATATATGCAATTCAAAATAAATCTTAAAATATCGAAGAATGCCCAGAATATGTAAGGACACTAGGAAAAAAAATTGGTTCTACTTAAGGAATTTTAAAGAATCTGAATAAGAAGAGAGATACTCTATACTCTTAGATGAATTGTCTTAATATTACACAGTTCAATAATCTTCAAATACATTTATAAACTCTTATGGTTACCAAAGGCTTTGGGAGAATGGGGATCAAGGAGGAATGTGAAAAAGTTGATCAATAAAACTAAGTTACAATTAGGTAAGAGCTAGATTTTGATGTTCTATCATACAATGGGGTGACTCTAGCTAACAACAATGTGCTTTACATTTCAAAAAGCTAGAATAAAATATGTCAAAAGTTTCCACCATAAAAAATGATAAATGTTTGAGGAAACAGAATATTTAACTCTATTTAAACATTAGACACTACACACATTTATCAAAAGATCCCATTGCCCCATCAATATGTACAATTTTTATGTTTTTATAAGTTAAAGCAAATTTAATTTAAAAAAATTTATAAATTCTAGGCATTTATGCTCAAAACGTTAGGCTGACTTTTGAAGCACTAGTTATCTTGTTTAAAAACTGCTTATGGAAGATTAAATGTCTATGTATCCTCAGTCATCCAAGAAAAAGAGGCTGAGCAAGATATTCAGACATATTATAAGGCTGAGGGTGGCAAAAAGTAAGTCGCAGAAGAAAGCTCACTATTTAATTGGAGAATAAAGTGAAGCTCAAACCCATTAGTAATCAGAGACATGCACATTAAAATGACAATGGGAAATAATGTTCCACTGATCATATATGTCAAGGTTATCTAGCTGGAAAACACCAAGTATTACAAATGTGGAGAAGATGGGTCCTTACATAGTGCTGGGGTGGGGGCTGGCAAGCAATAGACTGATTCACTCAAACAAATTATACCTGTAGACTGTCAGGACACCTGCGTGAGATTTCTAACACAGAAGCTTCTAATATCAACACTCAAGACTGACCCTTATCAGACTCCTCTTCTCCCTCAGACCTAATTACTGATTCTGCACTCTACCATTTCTTATGAACTTATCCTGCACATAACACACTGCCAGCTGGGGATACTCAAGACTATAACCACCGCCCAGATGACAGCCACTCATCTACTACGAACCAGTTCTAATGTCCTGGGTTCCATCAGATTGGGTATATTCCTCCCAGAACCACCTACCCTGATGTGTCTATATCCATTCTAAGATCCTCGCACATAAGACCAGGTCTTATGAAGATTCTCCTTTTATACCATCTTGAGTCTATAATCACTACAAAGCTAGTCTCTGATACTTTATTTTTTCATCTCCCTGTAATGCTTAAAATGTGGCACAGACATAATGTGCAGAAAATTAAAATTGAGCCCCTTGCTAAAAATCATTAACAACTTCAAAATGGCGCCAACAAAGCATTAAATAAAGCACTGGACACAGGGTTCTCTGTGACTGTGTAGTCACACATCCAGGAAGCCAACCCTGTTCCATTTTAACATCTTTCAGTGAGTTCTCATAATCAGATAAAATTCCTACATATGACATATTTGATATATTGTAAGAACTTTTGTAAATGTACTCCCACCCAGCACAATAAAAAAAATTACAAAAAAGAAAACTGGTTCATTACTTAAATCAGTCAATCTACTAGTCAATTCAGTGAAAGAAAATATGACCATGAATCCACCATGCAAATCAAACTTGTTTGTGTGTAGACAGATCTACAATTTCCTAGGTAATTTAATTTCCATTGGTATAAAAACCATGTCAAAATAGCATAATGTATGTATCCTTATTATAAGCTCTTTAAATGTGGATTCAAATAAAATTTTCCATAATATTTATCATGATCTATAAAGCCTGGCCTAATATGCCCTTCACTCACCACTCAATGACCTCATGTCATACCAACAACCCTCCCCTCATTTTTCTCCAGAAATAATGGCCTTCTTCTAGTTCTGGGTGTATGCCAAGCTCCTCACTTCCAAGACTGAGATACTCTTCACCTCCTTCCTTATTCCTCAAGACTTAGCACAAATATTTTCCCTCACTGACTCCCCACCCAGATCAATGTTATATATTAAGTATTAATGTTATACCTGGATATACATTCTCATTGCACCCTAAATATTTTCTTCAGAGAATTCATCACAATTTGTCTGTGACACCCATGAGACTAAGATCTTGTCTCACCCACTTGTTACCCCAGCACAAAGCACATTGCCCAATTACAGTGGAGTACTCAACAAAAAGTTAGTGAAAGACTAGATCTTCCATGGCTAGTGGACCCTCTGTCACTTTGTAAGATAAAATAAATGCTGGCTGAGTTGCCTAATGTCAAAATGAGAAACCTGGGATGAATGGCGTTCCTGCAGAAAATTTTAAGTAATACATAAATGCTTGAAAGAAGTGTTTCTTATACAAGATAACATTCTTGAAAATGAGGGCAATAGCATTTTTAAGTGAAATCTAGATTCTGAAGTAAGGATATTAAGTCCTTAGTTTATCTAAGTGGTCTTCTAACTATAATTTCTAGTCACGAGTACCCATTTAAAGTAGTATGACAAAGCTCCAATAAACCCTAAATTTTGGTTGAGGAGATTTACTGCAATGAGAGACTGAAACATAGAGCTTCCTCTAGGTGCATATGTAGGGTGCTTTTGTTCCAGAGTTTGGTTATATCAATTGTTCAAAGTCAACAGTCATTCTAATATAATTAGACCAATATTATAAGTATCACCATTTTCCTTGTGAATCATTTACATTAATCTATTCAACATCAAGACATTTAGTACTAGTTTATAGGAATCCTTCCTTCTTTTTAATAATCTTCAAATTTCCAGACTGGTAGGCTGGGTGTAGTGGCTCATGCTTATATTCCTAGATACTCAGGAGGCTGAGATTTGGATGATCATGGTTTGAGGTCAGCCCAGGCAAGAAGTTTGCAAAACCCCCATTTCGATCAATAAGCCGGCTGTGACCCAGCTCTGCAGGAGGGTAGGAAAATTGTGGTCTGAGGCCAGCTCTGGGCAAAAACAGACCCCATCTGAAAAATAAAGTAAAAAGGACCAGGGGCCATGTTCAAGTGATAGAGCTCCTACCTAGCAAGCACAAGGCCCTGAGCTCAAACTCCAATACTGCCAAAAAGAAAAAGACTCTAGACTGGTAAAACAAAACAAAACTATACATGAATAATCTATTTGGTATTAGTATTACTTAGGTAGGAACAGAGACTGATTTTACTTTGCTTTGATCTTGGTTTTAATGGCATTGTTTGTTAGTAACACAGATTCTAATGCTGGAGGTCCATTAGCCCCAAAAGATAACAAGTAAACTATACATGAATCTATAGAATTATCACGCCTGTAACTTTCATGACATTCTCTAAGAGGTTACATTTTTTTAAAAAGCTTTAGAGTTCTCATGTCAACACATTTTAGAAGGAAAAAAAGAGTTTTAAGTAATCCATACACAAATTGAAGAGTGTTAATTAATACCAGCAGTCATTGTCATCATGCCAGAACTTTTCTGAGGCTGCCATATGATGCAGGTACCCTGCATCTGCACCAAAGCAGTATAACAGGTCAAAATTGATCACAACAGTCATTTCCATTTCATTGAATAAAAGGGAAGGAAAAAAAAGGGAAAGAGGGAAGAGGAAAGAAGGAAGGAAGGAAGGAAGGAAGAAGGAGGAAGGGAGGGAAGGAGAGAGGGAAGGAGGAAGGGGAGAAGGGAGAAAAGGAGGGAAGGAAAGACAGGAAAGTTGTCAGATCCTCTTAAGAACTAGGATATGCTCACACACATCCCCAAAACCTACCTTCGGTATACCCAGGCTGTGTGGGAGGAGGCCATTCTTTTTCTTCACGGCAAAAGGACTTGTAATCAGGACAGCAATCAGAATTTTCCCTTTCACAGAATCTATCACAGTAACACAATGCATTTGCCTCATAGAACTGAGTGACACAGCCATCATCTCTGTCTTCACAACAACCAAAACTTCTACAGTATTGCCCTTGGAAAATGGCTCTTTTGAATCGAGTACCTTCCAAAATGGTGTGATTCCTAGTGAAATAAGCTCCTAGGTCCACTTCTCTTTGAGATAAGTAACGCCTCTTGGTCCAAACTTCTGTAGCCAGATAAGAAAAAATTAATATCTTAAATCCGGTCCACATTCTCTGGAGGTCGAGTATGGATCCCACTTTCAGTTAGATCCAATACTCCTGGTCTTGGCGGCTTCTCTGTGGGCTGGAAATCTAATCTTGAAGACACCTCACCCTGAACCCTGAAACTGACCCTTTACTTGAACTAAGTATACTTCTTTCAGTTAAACATTAATCGAGAATTTTAATGTTTGCCCAAGATAGTACAAGTGTTGGAAATAGGCTATTGTAATTCCTACAGAATTTTAAATGTCTAATTCACATAATGTAAAATGTTTACATTATCACCAAAATATCTACCTAAAATTTATGCATAGATGATATACTGAATATTGCTTGTCCCTCATAAAAATCTAGATTATTAAATTTGCAACCTCCCTGGTATATGCATGACCCAAATTATGGCTGTTATAAATACTGACAAGGTGCAGGAAATTCAAAAGTCAAAAACACAATTATTCATTTCACCTGCTTGCACTGCAACTAAAATCCAGGCTCTCCTGAGGTTGCCTGTGAGAATCTATCATAATAACATCAGTTGCTCTAAATCAATGCCCAGTCACACACTGGCTTCATTTCCCATCTGCACTGCTTTTACCTACCAGCATTTAGATTTCAAGGCTCACTGGAGCCCCATTCAGTTAGAAATTCCCTGAGGATGACCTTAGCTCTCTCCACCTGAGACCCCACCGAGCAACAGTGAGACAACCAGAGGCATCTAGAAGACAGCAGCTGCTCTTTACTAACAGCTGTGGGGGAAGGAATTGTGAATGAAACTTAAAGGTCAAGATGTCTTTAGTATTTCTGTAGAGCTGTGCATAAACAGTTGGTTTTGCTAAACTATTTATTCATTAACAACAATAACTCCCTTTGGACAGGGGATAAGTAACCAGCAGACGATGATTCAGCAAGAGTGGCTGGGTGGACTAGTGGAAAAAGTCTGTCTTGGCAATCAGAAAGCTGAACTCCAGTCCCCAAGCTACTATTTAATTGACTCTGTGACCTTGGAATCACGATTTATGTCTCCGGCTCTCAGTTATTTTCTTATGAAACAAGGGTCTTTCTGTGCATGTCTGTTTCAAAATTCAAACCCTTCAAACTTATTCCATGACCTTGCTCTATTTTATTTGATTCATACTTTTGTCCTCATTATGCCATTGTCTTCTGGCACTTCTCTATCAGTATATAAACAAGTGTAAGTCTTTCTATCCAACCCCCAAAATAATTCTACATCACTTTGATGTTACTGTCTATAATCTCCCCATCTTGTAATCCAACAAATGCTGACTCTGCTTCTTTGCCATCTATTAATTCAATAAATGAGTAAAATGTCCAATTTGCATTTTCTTCCCTTGTAGCAAATCTGTTGAGTACTTCTGGAGATGACCCATGAGACTGTAGAATTGCAACTACCACAAATTTGGGGAGTTTTATATTAGTGACTTCTTAAACATTGCTCATAGCAACAATTATAAATCTTCTTGCTTTTGTAACTCACTCCCTCATTTTCTAGAGGTGACCTTCTCTCAGAGGTTACCAAGAAAACAAAGACAGCAAGTGTGAATCCCACACCTTCCTGTCATAAACCCATAACTCTATCTACCTTTGCTGTCACCCTTCCCATCTTTCTTCCAGACTTGGAAGAGTTGGTGCCATCCATATCTATGGAAATTCTCCCATCTTTGACTTTTATTGTGCCACCATTTGCATTTACATTTTTTCCTTCTGTTACCTCTTAGTTCTCATACATCTTCAACCTCTCTCTCACACGAATCCTTCAGTCTGTTAGTAGGATTGTAGCAGACTCTATTGCTACCCCACTGGTATCCTAACACTGCCACCATTTTAAGACAATTTGGGGCTTCAAAAATAAATAGTATCATTAACCAGAGCCCACTATTCCCCAGCATCATACCCCCACTGCAATATAAGCCAGAAGTTCAAGCATTAACTCCCTTCATCAACTCACTAGAAGTCTTCCTTTTACTGTCTCTCTTTTCTTCCTTCCTTTATTCCTTTCTTTGTTTACATATTTTATATTTAATTATTAAATAAATAAAAATTGTACCTATGGTATGCTTATTTTTAAAATTTTATTTCATTAGCATATTATTGTTGTACTGGGAAAACATTGTGATATTTACAAATGTGCTTACAATATACATTAGTCAAATTCACCCTCTCCATTACTCTCCTTTATTCCCCCCCTTTCTTAGAATGGTTTCAGTAGGTTCATTTTTCCATTTCCGTACATGAGTACATACTATTTCGGCCATATTCACTTTCCTTCACCCTTTCCTTATATCCTCCACCCTGCCACTGGTACCAATGCCCCAGATAGGACCTGTTTTACCTTCTGGTCCTTCATTTTTGAAAAAAAAAATAGTTTGTTTAAGATAGCTATACAGGGAGTTTCATTATGACATTTCCATGAATATATGTATCATATCTTGAATTGTTTCATCCCTGCCAAGGTTTCAGTATTCTATATTCATTGTTGTATAGAAAATACATCACCCATATTCACCCTCTTCACTTCCTTCTTTTACCCTCCCCCTCCCATTGGTGGCCTCCCCTTAGTGATACCTGTTTTTCATTCTTGTCCTTTGCTGTTTAGGTATCTATTAATTATTCAGTGGGATTTTAGAGTATATTTATATTATACAATGTTTATAGTGTGCAACATCATATTTTGAAATATGTACATATGGAATGACTAAATCAAGTGACTTACAATAGTTTTATCATTTCTTTTGAGAGTGCTGAAAAATCAACTTTCAGCAATTTTCAATATAATATGAATTATATTCATATATATGAAATAATATTTCAATATAATATTCAATTCAATATATACTATTATAATATAATAGTCCCCATGATGTACGAATAGATATCTTCTCTTCCTGTATAACTGATGTTTTATGTTCTTTGATTAACATCTCCCCAATCCCTCACTCCATCTCAGCATCTAATGACTACAATTTCCCTGCTTCTATTAATTCTACTTTTTCAGATTACACTTGTAAGTGATGCAATACTGCATTTGTTATTCTGTGCCTGACTTATTTCAGTTAATGTACTGTCTCCAGGTTTTTTTTTACTTTTTAATTTTTTATTTTTTTATTGTTGTGCTTGGTGGGGGACACTGTAACATTTACAAAAGTTCTTTTTTTTTAATTTTTATTTTTTTGTTATTCATATGTGCATACAATGCTTGGGTCATTTCTCCCCCCTGTCCCCACCCCCTCCCTTACCACCCACTCCACCCCCTCCCTCTCCCCACCACCCTCGATACCTGGCAGAAACTATTTTGCCCATATCTCTAATTTTGTTGTAGAGAGAGTATAAGCAATAATAGGAAGGACCAAGGATTTTTGCTAGTTAAGATAAGGATAACTATACAGGGAGTTGACTCACATTGATTTCCTGTGCGTGTGTGTTACCTTCTAGGTTAATTCTTCTTGAACTAACCTTTTCTCTAGGTCCTGGTCCCCTTCTCCTATTGACCTCAGTTGCTTTAAAGTATCTGCTTTAGTTTCTCTGCGTTGAGGGCAACAAATGCTATCTAGTTTTTTAGGT